TGTGACCCTGATGACGGTCAATAACAGTCATTCGTAATTCGACCCTGAACGTGAACCCGAACTGGTCAGGTACTGTCCAGTCGCCGACCAGTCGGTCGTGTCCTCCTTCTCTTCTGGAATAGCAATTACATACTTCTTCGACCTGAGTCGTCCTCAGTCGACGTGGGACACTGGCGACAGTAACTCCCAGCCGGGGACATGTTGGTAACTCGTTCCTGACAGTGGCCGCGCCGGCGGATCCTTCGTCAATAGAGAATCCTTCCTTCCTGCTGGAACGTGACGCGTGAAACTTCGCACGGATAATAACGCCGGCTGAATTTGATCACGGAAAATGAGGTTCTCCCGGTGCGTTGGATTATTGGTCGCTCTGTCTCTTGCCTCGGGAACACATCAAGTAAGATATCGTCTGCTTGATAAAACTTCCATCAGTCGCAACGTTAAATGATAGGCTCTAATTCACGATAGAAATTTCAGGATTATAGAATCGTAGAATAATTGGAATTCAATATTTTTTTTTTTTTTAAGATTCGTGGTGCTGCGTAGATTTAATAGAAAATGTGTGATGATCTGTTGTATGAAAACTTAGTGCAAGCTGATTGCGTACAGTATAATATACGATAATTAATAATTGAAAATTGCGACGATTGCTTTCGTGTTTAAAGGGGAGAGTGTTAATTTGTATTAAATAATAATGACGTTTGGCCAACTAATTTTGCACGAATTTTTAGGCAACTACTTTCGCCGAGAAGGTGAAGAACTTCTTTGGAATTTTTGGTAACAAACCACCGTCTGCCTTGGAAGCACCTGGACCATGTTACTGTAGTATGTGAAACTTAAATTCTTGATTATAATATTCGTCGATGAATTGTTATTTAATTTCAATCGATCATTCAATACAAGTATTGAATATTCATACTGATATTAAACGTATAAACATGTTTAATGCACATAAAGTATCAGTGTAAATGTTTTTTCAACAAATGTTAATTATTATTTTACCTTTAACTACCGTTAACTACGTTTAAACGAAAGGCACTATTAACACATTTAACTGTGCAAACTATTAGGCTGCGGTCTGCGAAACGAAGAAAGTCGAATAGTCGGTGGTCAAACAACTCGCATGAATGAATTCCCATGGATGGCCCGGCTTTCGTATTTGAACAAATTCTACTGTGGTGGAACGTTGATTAATGATCGCTACGTTCTCACCGCGGCTCACTGTGTTAAAGGGTAAGTATTCAAAAACAGATACATGCAATGATTAAATCTCTATTAAATTTCTACGTCACTTGCACATTATTACAAATCACAGAATGATATGTTTATATTTTGAAGTTTCGATACATTCATTTACCAGTATATATTGTTATATTATTCATTTGCTCAACAATGAATGTGATACACTTTGCAAATTTTTAAATTATTTAATTCTTACTTGTGGAAAAGAATCTTCTGAACACCAACACAGATGAATGTTACAATGTTAATAGTTCAGCAAATGTTTCAGAAATGTCAAATATCGTGAATGATAATTGCTGTAAGCTAAATACTTATAATTTTAATTATAAACGATAGTTAGAATATTGCAAAAAATTAATAAAGGTAGAATAAAATTCTAGTTTTAGAGAGTTGAAACTTTAATTTAAGAGAGGTCTCTGATTTAGATTACCAGCAATGATTTGATTCTCCAGAGGAGCACGATCAGCTTTCCTAGTCCCGTTTTTAGGTTCATGTGGTTCATGATCAAGGTTACGTTCGGTGAACACGACAGGTGTACCGAGACAGGAGCTGAGACCAGGTACGTGGTCAGAGTGCAAACTGGTGATTTCAGCTTCCTAAATTTCGATAACGACATCGCTCTTTTACGGCTGAACGAAAGAGTACCATTCGGCGACACTATAAGGCCAATATGCCTGCCATCCCAAAGAGGTACGTTTAATTTTCTTGCAAGAATTTTTAAGAATTTTTGTAAGATATAATTTTATTAGTGTGTTACTTCTATCAACAACAACAATTACTAATCTTCCGAGGCGTACACAAGTTTTCTAAGTAATTTCTAGAGCTTGAAATAATGTATTCATTGTAAATATGTAGTTCAGTGCATGTAAGTTATAATTTTTAAAATCGTCAGAACTGTGACTACAACTGCAATTTCACTGTTACTGTTAGTTTTGTAGGTATTGAATCACAAATTTCTTACTTTCTTTTATTACAATTAGAAAATACTACGAGGAATTTATTTCTCGTTTGAATTTCTTGATTGTTGAAAATGTTTGACTAATCTATGACATTTAATCAAACTTTAGCGACGATTAGTCAACAAAAATTAGTTTTTTTCGACGATTAGTCAACAAAACTTTTTTGAGATGCGTAGAAGGGACACCGTCAGACATTTATTGAAGTAATAAATTTAAATGTCAACTACAGTCATCTCGACTTTAGCAGTGTGCTATTTAATGAGTTCAAATCTATGAGATTGCATTAATTTCCCAACTACAAGCATAAACTTTCACAACAGAAAAATACGAACGATCCAGTATTCTGTCCTCTGAAATTATGGCATCACTGATATAACAAGATTAAAGCAATAGCTAGTGCAACAGTATTAAAGCGAAACGATCATATCGAAAGGAAAGATTAACCCTCTGTCGTGTAACTTGAAAGTGTTATTTATCCATATATCTATATTTCGAAGATGAAACTTATATATCAAATAACTTGTTTATTAAACGATGATCATTTTTTATTATTTATAACACAGTTACAAATAATATTGTCGAATTAATTAATAATCTCTTTTTCCTATATAAGCATATCGTCGCATAATTTGAGCCAATGGTTGCGTTATTTATTGACTGATTTATCGCGTGGTTGAATTACAGGTAGAAATTAGTCAATATACGGGTACGTTTCGCGATATTTATTTGGAATTTATACGTGGATGGAAGAACGCGGTGACAATCGTCACCCGAAAATTACGTAATTCGTGTCAGGCGTCTACTCAGGTGAAAAGTGCAAGTGGATCAAAACACGATGGCTCGAACACGAAACGTTCTAGCCAGCTGTGACACAAGTAGTCGCATTGCATTGCAATCTGACTCTTGTTCTTGCTGTAGTTTTCTCATCGTTGCGTAGAATATACGGGCTACGTTAATGTTTTCAGATAAGGATTACACAGGGACAAAAGCAATCGCGTCCGGTTGGGGTACCTTGCACGAGGAGGGAAAGCCATCTTGCTTGCTGCAGGAAGTCGAGGTACCGGTTATGAGCCTTCAGGACTGCCGTAACACAAGCTACAGTCCGCGTATGATCTCTGATAACATGATGTGCGCTGGATATCTCGATGGCCAGAAAGATTCTTGCCAGGTGAATTCTAATTTTCTTATCGACAGGTATTCAAATGGTTAATGGACGAAGCTTTGGCAAATATAAAAATTCGAAAGAAAAAAAAACTTTCAACCCATGACTCAATGTTCTCGAAGATTGGAATTTTCTGACGAAAAGAAAAAAGGAATCTTTTTTTCTCAATCATACCGTCAAAGAATTGTATAAGAAAGAAAAAAAGTTTTTTCTTGTTTAAAGGGTGACAGCGGAGGACCGCTCATAGCCGAACGCGAAGACAAGAAATACGAGCTCATAGGTGTAGTATCCTGGGGAAATGGATGTGCTCGAGCAGGATATCCTGGTGTTTACACAAGAGTCACTCGATATATAGATTGGATAGTTTACCACTCGCGAGAGGGATGTTTTTGCGAACAAAATTAAGATCAGTTGTGGAAAGCAATAGATTTTTCTCGGCATTATATCAATTATCCTTGTAAAGAAAGAATTGCACAGGAATAAATACAAGTATCTCTACTTGTATTAAATGCTCGCGTAGAAAATAATTTCTACGCAAAGACGTATTTATTGACTTTTGACAAATATCATTTTGCAAAAGAACGTACTCAAATGTAAATGATGTCTGATTCGAACCTTTATTTAAGTAAGAATTACTTGAAGAATATGTGAAAAATAAAACGATTTGTGGTTCGCCACAGATTATTCGACACTCTCATTTATTAAATCGATGTATCATAAAAATTAATAATCAACAGTTTCTTAAATAACACATCGAATTCATTGATTTCACGTCAAAGAATAATTAAAAGATAACTTTTTTTTACGCTCGCTCGACATTTCAAAAGTTACTTAATCGCTTTGAATCGATTTACTGAATTTAAACCTCACATGAAGGAAAGATGAAATAATTGATGGAAATATTTTTCAAACGTTTAAACTACACATCTGAGCATGAATTTCTGTTTGAATAAGAAATCGTATCGAATCAACTTCTGTTACTATTTTCATCAGGTTCGTATTAAATATAATTCCCAAATTTCAGCAATTCGCGAAAAGCAGAGGTAATCAATTCAGTCAATCAGCACGATTCGATTATACTCGATCAGAACTCGACAGAAACGATTACATTCAGCAAATAATCTGTACATACGCATGTGTACAAAGATAAGGAATGCATGTTTCAAGTCGAAGCGTATGCAAATGAAAGTTTACGATCGGATACTATACGTGTCAGACGTATTCCATTTCCATGAATTGGTCCATTTGTGCGATGTCTGAAACAGCCTAACGGTATCGAGCAACCGGTTACCAACCGGTTGTAATTCAAATGAAACTGAAACGAGCAAAAGCATGATCGATGTCGATAGGAACCACACGTTTGTGCGTCCGACATTCAGGAAAAGAACCTTGTGTACTCTTCGAGATGCGGGTAACGACAATCCCGCTATATAAGACAAACCGACCGTTTAGTCGGGGCCCAGTATCGTTTCGACAGCCGAAAGAAAAGCCATGAAGCTGCAAAATTTCGTCGAATATCTCGTTTGTGGTTTGCTGTTGGAGCTCGCCTCGAGATCCATTCACTGCAGTAAACTTAATTCATCTGTAAGCGATTGTCTTCTTTTTTCTTTTTTTTTTTTTTTTTTTTTTTTTTTTTATCTGTGTCACGTTGTCAATCGATGATCGGACTGTGAATATTTATGCAAATTTATATTCATACTTATACAAACGTCATGTCACAAAGATAGTTAAAAAAAACATGTAGATGGAAAATTTTTTTAACTTATAAAAACTACTATCTTTTGATGTTTTGTCATATTACGTGTTACACATAATTTTTCGTGAAATTCATAAAGATCTACGATCTGTTTCAGACTTGACCAATTTAGCACGAAAATTGCATGAAAGTCCACAGTCAGTTAGTAATTTAAACTTGATTTAGTCCAAACACAAATTTAGATTAATTCAAATGTAAGTACACTTTCTTAGGATTTGCCTGTTGCTTTCATTAGTGGCGTGCAGGATGACGAATTGGCACAGACGCGAGGCGTCCTGGACTTTCTGTTTGGCAGATTCAGAACTTGCGGCAATTGTCGTAAGAAAACGCTTTAGTTTCCTTCGTAATATAATATTGGAAGATCTACTTCTCATTTTCTAATTCGTTGTTTGTCATTTGCAGTTTGCGGCAGGCCAAATCGACCTAGTGAAACGCGATTCCTCGGCGGCGAGTATACAAAGACTCACGAATTCCCCTGGCTTGCGAATATTCGCGTGAAATCGAAATTACTTGTCGGTGGAGCTCTAATAAACGATCGTTACGTTTTATCCTCGGCCAGTCCATTTATTGGGTTCGTAGCGAAAATAAAACTGATTTATTGTCATTTAGTTAATTAATGATCGTGATGTTGTTTGACAGTGTGACCACGCCAGAAATAAAAGTATTCTTTGGAGAATACGATCGATGCAATTTGGATGTGTCGTCGACCACCGTCAGCGTTGAATCTTTGATTCTGTATCCAGAGTATAATATGGAATCACACGCTCATAACTTGGCACTCATAAGATTGAGCCAACCGATTAAATTCGAGAGAAGAATATCGCCCATTTGTCTGCCAAATCCTGGTAGATTTATAATCAATAATGATTTCATTGACATTGAATTTGATTCTTCGTATATATTGTAGATCTCGAATATTAAGAATATTGTTATTAAAATGTATGTTGCATACTTCAGGTTCAACTTATCTTGGACAGGTTGGAACTTTGGTTGGATGGACATTAAGCACAGGAGAGGACACGAGCAATAATGAAACTTGTCGGCCGCGAAAATTAGGCCTTCCAATTTTGGGACGCGAGGAATGTATTAGATCTGGCATAAGTTCTATGAACTTCCACGACGATTCAGGCTGCATTGGAGTATTAGGTGGAAGCTCTATTGTATGCGAGGTATATTAACTTTCTGTTAAATATCTTTTACCGTCGTTTATATAAGTAAGGCACTCTCCAATTAAATCAAAGATAAAGAAATTTTTCACTCGAGTGCACAAAAGATGTAAAGAAATTTAGAGGAAAGTTTCTCAAATATACATCAAAAGTAAATTTATTCTTTTTACATTTTTCGTGATAAAATCTTGTAACGGCTTTTATCCATAAAATATATTTTTCAGAACGATGTAGGTTCATCGGTGCAATACCGCTCGTATGCGGGAGTGTATGATCTAGTCGGTACGTACATCATTTACGATAACATTATTTTTCAATTTTTATGTTACTCGAACAACCATAATCGATAATTTTGCCGCTGTTATCCTATTACATGTAAATCGTCTAAACTTTTTAAAAATGATATTATGTTATATATGTATGTAAAGCAGTACAAGACTTTTTATTTTACAACAGGTATAATTTCGGACATAAACAAATGTGGTAGCACTCCTGCCATTTCGATATTTACAAGAGTTGGTCCACATTTAAATTGGATATTACAACACACTAAAGATGCGTGTTATTGTTCAAAATAATAGATTATTATTTCATGACACTTGCATTACAGCAAGTTTCTCTAAATTACACGTGCATTGAACTATGATCTTCTCTCTTTTGTAAATAAATTATTATTTATATTATCGCTCTAAATGTCTGAAAAGAATATGTAAAAGAATATTAAATGAGGAAACATTAATTATTTCGATCTCACAATGAAAAATAACCTTGTGAAAGTATATACGTACAATAATGTTCAGTTTGTTGTACGAAATTTATTACATACTCGATGTCGGAACTTACAATAATATTTTTATCGTATATGTGTGTACAAGTGGACGGTATTTGCAATCATGACAAATTAATTTGGTATAAGTCTCGATGAATATATAACTCATTTGAATCGATTGTTTGGATTTGTTATAAATACATAGATATCAGTATAATCACCTGAATATTTTGTGCACTGAGAGAACTTAAATCTAGTACATACATATACATAAATAGTATTGCTTAGATATTTCTCACATTAATGTTAATGCATTCGAATTTTCGAAATAACGAATATGTGACATGGAATTATAAAGCTTTCCTTGGAATATAACATTTAGTCATGCCGTATTGAAAATAAAAATTAGGATTAGAATTAATACTACAATATACAATATATATATATCATCGAAGGAACTGTTTGCAAAAACGTATCATAAAATTCTAGTGTTACTTCTTTTACGCTTATACAACTTGTGAACAAATATAACAACCAGTTGAAAAAAAATCAATAAAGTAAAATTAATTAGAAACTAATAAAAAAAAAAAAAAAAAAGAACGAGACATTACACGAACCATGTTTGATATTGTTTGCATTCAACATTTGTTTAAAAAAGCCTAGATATACCGTGTAAATATTTTTTTAATTAGTACTTCATTGATCTATATTAATATTTACATTCATCATTGCTTTCGATTTAGTATAATTATAGTACAATTTAATTCAGTCCATATTGGAAAAAAAATCCATATTGAAATTATTCTCTGAAATATAGATTATACTATTGGAAATATATCATGCATATAATAATGTTTTTATTATTACTCCGAAAAAATTTTAACTCCGAAAAGAAATAAGTAATTATATATATGAAATAACAAATTAAAATTTCTAATAAATTCAAAATTGTAAAACTACTATATGTTAATTATACAATTAACATATAATATAATTAATATAGTTTTACAGTTATACTATATGTTAATTACACAATTAACATATAGTATAAGTTCAAAATTAATTACATATTCGAAAATAAATAAGATTAACATTCTTTTCTTGTAATATCAATAATATAACGAAAATAAAAATAATCTTTTATTGTACTTGTAATGAATTAAGACACTAAATTACAAGAAATATTAGAAACTCAAAGAAACTTAAAAATAAAAAAATATACATCGAAAATTTAAAAATCTATCTATTGTAACCTACGATTGAATGCTATGTTATTTAGTAATAGTGAGCTCTAACATGATAACAATTAGTGGAACACTAATAAAGAATTAATTTGTCAAAAATAAACTCATATTATAATGGAAGTATACTTGAATACAAAATATGTTACACAAGTGCTATTATACAGCTTTAAAGTTGGATATATGCATTAATATATGACATGGGTCACATTTGCATTACACTGTGAAGTAACTGCTTCTTCTAGTGTACAATCTAATTTACGATAATTAGCAGTACTTGGTCGTCGTCTACCACGGCTGTTTCGTGATCTTCGTCCTTCTAATACAATGGCTAATATCTGCAATATTAAAATACCAAGACGTTAATAAAGAAAATGAATAAACAAAACTCTCTGAAAGAGAATAAACAAAATAGTCATTTACCTTTTGTTTATTATGATAACCAATGTACGCAGCTATTGAGATTAAAGAAACTACAGTGAAGTAAGTAAAAAAGTGGGACTCTTCATCTGTCCTAATGCTATAATGAGGTATAATATCTCTCTGTTCAGATGGTTCTGGTATATGTTGATTTTGATCTGCTACTGTAAAAACATACATTGAATATAAACAAGAATATTAACATAAAAATATTAGAAATTATAAAAGATTTTCTTACATAGTTTTTTGTCTGTATCAATGGACTGATCAGTTCCATCACTCGGATCTGAAAATAAAATATTATATTTAAATGCTTAGTAGATTATACATAAAAGTGAAAAATTCAGAATATTAAGTAAATCATACCAATAGATAATTTGTTATCTTCCATGCGACTCCAGTCTCCATCTTCATTAATAATAGGATTTTGATGATCCTGAGTATTTTCTGATATTGTACTTGTTTTGACATCTTCGTTAACATCATTTATATTTCCTTTAACTCCACTATTTATATCTACATTAGTTTTTTCTACTTTTTCATCTACAATTTTACCATCAGTGTTAGATGCAATGCCTAAATTTTCAGGAACATCGGCTTTTTCAACATTTGTTTCTATCTTTTTTTCTGTTGTATATGTGACAATCGGCTGATGAATGTTACTATAGTTGTTAGTATTAGATTTTATAACAGATTTAGCACTGTTTTGTTTTTTTGGTAATAATACATTTATAGTAGTAGGTTTATCTATTTTACTTTTAATATTATCAGCATTTTCTTTAGAGATTCCATTAAAAGTTTTATCTGCTATTGGACTAAACTGTTGTTCTTCTACTTCCTGATTTGTCTTTATTTTGATCTTCAATACATCTTCAGGCTTTTTTTCTAAATTCTTATTCATTTGTTTTGTATCATCAATATTTTTATTCCATGCTAATATTGCACAAAGCGGAATAAATTTTTCTGACATATCAAAACATATTAAATAGCATGTATGAGAGCTATTTAAATGTACATGTGATAACAACGGTTCTACTTTTTTATATGCAAATTTAATATCCTTGATATTTTTACAAAATATAGTTTGGTCACTTTCTTTTTCTCCAGGGAAGAAATTATGAATATATGAGTAAAACGTAGTCACATTAGTAAGATACTTATAGTGTTGACTAGACTGACAGACTTTATATAGTGTATCATAAAATGCCAAACATAAAAAAGTATTCATAGATTTTATATCACGTTGATAAGTGATATTCTGTCCAGGATATGCTACATCATTACATTCTTCTGTAATATTGTTTTCGTACAAAAATGTTGGTATTTTACAGGAAAGTTCGGTATCATTTTTCATTACATTTATAATGTTTTGGGCTGTTGGTACACTTAGTACACTTGACACTTTCATGCAATAAAGAAAAAGAACAAACGTACTAAAACCGAAAAATGAACGAATTACGTTTTTTGAGTTATTCATTATTATTTTTTATGCTCAATCAATATTCTCTACAGCTTTTAATTTTTTTAACAATATTTCCAACAAATTTAACACTACAAGTATAATATTTTATTCTTTGAGACTACAACGAACATAACCTTCCACAATCCAATTTACTTGACACAAACTCAACCACATTTAATATCATAGAATTTTACATATACGCCATCTTTTTTCGTGATTGAATCTACATAACCTAAGAAGTCCTTCTAGTAATTTTTATTTCGTGTCACCATTAACTAACTTTCATAGATTGAACACCCAATGCTTTTTCGTGTCCAAGGTTTTGAGGATCATACAATCCTGTTACCATTTTCGTCTCACAACCTGTAGTACCGATTCAGCAAGTTTTATACCGCGAAAACCAAAAAATATGGATTGCATGTAATGGAGGGTGGATGGAATGTATTGTAAGCCTGGGGGCGGGTCCCGTAGTCACCTATTCGTGATGAGTACCTGGTAATTGATATTGTTTTACAAACTTTAATGCCAAGTTGTAAACTGAAAAACGATATGAAACTTTAATGTTTGTAAAACTATATCAAAAAACTAAAAACTACGCAACCTACAGTTCAGTTTAGAAAATTGAAAATTTTTTTCCTTTCTTTCACATATAAGAATTTTGCAACAATAATAACGAATAATAATACTAATGTTGTATTTATCATTTCAGTTGCAATATCTCTGTAATTGTAGCATGATGACATTAATTTCTAGTAATGAGTTATTTGCCAAAATTAATATTTATAGAAAGAAAAATGAGAAAAATGTTACAAAGATTTTGTGTTTGTTAGAAATATTAAGAATGATATTATAATTTAATTTATAATATATTTATATGAATAATTATAAAATATGCCAAGTACAGAAATACTGATAGAAAACAAAAAAAGAAAAAAAAGTACAATTGCCTCTTAAATGATGTAAGTTGTTACAAATAAAAAAAAGCTTAATGTTGAATTATGTTAATTTGAAAAAGATACATGTTAGCTAGTGTTTTATTAAAACGAATTTTTTTAATACAAAATCCTTGATAGCATTATTAGTAACTTGAAAAATAAAAACGATAAATAATTAAATTATATAATAAATAGGAAATATATACTGCTAAAATTATATAAAAAATACAAGTTTTCAACAAATCCTCGATAGTATAGTGGTTAGTATCCCCGCCTGTCACGCGGGAGACCGGGGTTCGATTCCCCGTCGGGGAGAGAATTTTTTTTTATTTAAATTTATATACGTTGTATGATTATGAAATAGTATGAAATAATAATAAATACTTTTAGTAACATTACATTTAAAAATAATCAAAAATTAAAATTTATTTTAAACTTGACCAATAATCTAATATTAAGTTCTGTTTGTAACCGGAGTTAAAAAGCCTCCGATAAGAAATCGAATACATAAAATTATTCTAACATAATAATAGTAATAGCAATAATATTAATATAGTAAAGAACAATTTGTGAGAAAAGATAAAGATATTATCTTCTGATAATAATGCAATTATTATCTATTATTTTAGCAGTTAAAAATGAATACAAAACTGAAACTTTCACAGTTAAGCTAATTTTTATCATGTACAGTATGCTTTGTGTTTGAAAAGCTTCTTATGTATCTAATGTAAACGTACCTCTGGAAATTATAAAACATTATTATTCCACACAATATGTAATTTCTTTCTTATGGTCTAAAAAATACGTAAATCATTCTGAATCCGAAGGTGAAAGTAAAATTCAGCACAGAAAGTATAGAATTGAAAACCATCTTAACTACTTATGTTAAAAATATTTATAAGTCAAATTCAAACTTGTCTTAAAAATTATAGGAATATTCCAAATTACATTTTTGGGATCCTGATTCGATCTGACCCGATCGTCATCAGAGCTGAGTCGAGAATCGAGTATTAGAAATGTACGAATACCCGATATTTCGAATTCGGGTCAGGTCTGATGAAATCGGTGGGTTTGAATGGATACTCGAGAGATAGGTATAGCCCGATTATGTCAGGCGGGGAGTTTTCTCTGAAAGAATGGATAAAACGGTTGTTTAAACTTGTCTCGTAAGTGTTCTTTATTTTTTGTAAAATTATACAGCCAAAATAATATCATAATTTACGATGCAAAAATTTAAAAACATATAGATATTCGCGTTTCTTTCTTGAACGACTCGTGGACATTTCGTTTCGTTACTAAATACGTGTATACCATGCTAAAATAATTTCGTAGTGTATATACTTTGCTTGTTCAATGTCGGTGTGTGATTTCGCGACGTGAAAAGTCTAATCTGGAAAATTATTCAAACACGATATACGCTTCCGTTCGCGCGTAAAACGCGCTTCAATCAACGAAACCCACTTAAACTATCTTATAAGTGTTCTTTATTCTTTGTAAAATCATACAGCGTAAGCGACCACAATCTACACAGTGTAGTCAAGCGAGATACAAGTGACATGATCGTTCAACGATCGGGCAAACGACGATCGAAGTACCGTTTCGCGTTCTCACGATGTTTATAAACTAAGAAACACAAAAGATTTTCTTTTCTTTAATTTACATTATTTTTTTTTATTCTTACTTTTATGTATATATATATATATATATAT